TTTCAAAGGTAATTTCCTTAATGGTTCAATGCCCTTCAATTTTTTTTTTTTTAACTAGAGTTTAGAATTCACACTACTTTCAGTTATGTGTGCTGATCTGCAAACAAGCAAAATTTTGCATTTATAGCAAAAGAAATATGTGAAAGTGCCTTAAAAATATAAAGCAGCACACAAAGGCAAGTACTACATAATCAGTTCTTTGTGTAAATTATGGTTTTTGTTGAGCGAGATCATTATCGCTGTGTACAGGAGCAAAGACTTCCCTGTGGTATGCAGCCGTGGTCACTGTTTGTAGAAGCCATGTGCTTGGGGTGGGACTGTGCCTCATAGACTCACAGTTTGCTTTTGCAAACAGTGCAGGATAAAACTGAGAAAGCTGCTGGGGCGCCTAGGTGGCTCAGTCAGATGACTTTGCCTCAGGTCATGATCTCGCGGTCTGTGAGTTCGAGCCCCGCGTCGGGCTCTGTGCTGACAGCTCAGAGCCTGCAGCCTGCTTCGGATCCTGTGTCCCCCTCTCTCTGACCCTCCTCTGTTCATGCTCTGTCTCTCTCTGTCTCAAAAATAAATAAATATTAAAAAAAACAAAACAAAACAAAAAAACTGAGGAAGCTGCCGCCTGGAAGCCGGCTAAGGCCAGGCCTAAATCTTCTTCAACCCCATAGATGCTCACTGCGAAGTTTAACATCAGGAAACTGTGCTAGGGGGATACTAAGATCAAGAATAATAGTCCCTTGGGGCGCCTGGATGGCTCAGTCTGTTGAGCGTCCAACTCGTGGTTTCAGCTCAGGTCGTGACCTCACGGCTTTGTAGGTTTGAACCCCACATCAGGCTCTGTGCTGACAGCCTGCTTGGAATTCTCTCTCTCTCTCTCTCTCTCTCTCTCTCTTCTGCCCTCACCCCCAACTTGCATTGTCTCTGTCTCCCTCAAAATAAATAAATAAATAAGAATAATAGTCCCTTGCCTGGGCCCGGCATGTAGTTTACTTGTATTTTTGAAATCTCTCATCTAATTCTCACAGCCATCCTGGGAGGTAGGTAAAGGAACCCACATTTTACAGAGAGGTTAAGTAGTTTTCACCACGTCACACAGCTTAGGTGTAGCAGAGCCAGTACCGGAACTCAGGTCCTCTAATCCTGACCCCTGTGCTATCTGTCCTGGCCGCCTTCGGGACTGACAGGCCCTGCCTGCCCACCAGAGGCACACCGTTTAAAGGGGAAACACATCTAAAAGTATCAGTGCAAAGCCATATTGATCAGGTATTCTTATGGAATGCCAACAAGCGCAGGAAAAAGAAGAGGCAGGCAGTTAATTTCCTCTTGGCCACGTTCTGTCCTAAGAACAGGGTGCCTCCTTATCTGTGCCATATATCTTCAGTGTAGTGTGGCTTTTGATGGTGCCAGTGTAAAAGGAAATGATGTTCCATAAAGGGCTATCACTTTCTCTTTGTACACCTCCTTTTACCTGTGTCTGTGTCGTACAGCCTCTTCCTTTTGTTTACTTGTGAATTCCAATCTCTGGGATCTGTATCTCTGTTTTCCTGAGTCAAAGGGGATGTATCTTGGCCTCTTTATTCCCTGTAGCTGTACCGATCTCAGTCTTCCGATAGATTTTCTTCCTGTGCTGCATCTTTCTCTCCACGTCTCTTCCCATCATTTTATTTCTCCTTTTGTCCTTCTTAGTCTCTGCTTCCAATGCCACTATTACAGAAAAGAAGTGCAGGTCTAAGCAAATATGGCTTTTTTCAGAATAGAGTTTCATTTTCTGTTGTTATTATTATTATTATTATTATTATTATTATTATTTTGGTAATAGATGGGTGGGTAGAGACCTCCAAAGATCTCTTTCAGTTCAGTTCTGGAGCTCAAAATAAAGACGTTTCATGTGTGAATCTCAATTGCTTTTCCTTAGGTCCATTTTTCTGGATAGGAAGAAAATGTCCTTGATGGAGGGTAGCAGCCTGCACATCGCGTATCTTAAAGACACTCACCTGAGTATTCTCAGTCTCTTACAAGTAAATATGGTATTTTCAATTTAAGGCTAGAGGAACCAGGGAGCAGAATGGGAGAGAGTTCTGCTATCCTGCCCCCTAATGGTATCCAGATTGGGGTTTACAGGAATGGGAGAGAGAGGTTAGAAACCAGAGAAATCCCACCACAGCCCTCCCAAACTGGGAGCTTTATAAATTCTTACTCAAGGTGTGGCATTCTGGTTTGGTAAATGAGTCTTGTCTTGGCTTCTAGTAACCCAAACTTCACTCTCCAAACCCACCTAAGAAGCATAATCAAAAACTCCTTAAATCCCAACTCTACAGCATGAAATCACCCTGAACGTGAATCAGGACCCTGAATTGCACCGTGAGCCTTGCTACTTCATAGGGTGGAGTGTCAGCTTCCCGTTCTGCACTTAAGTTTCTTCATCTATAAAATGAAATACTATGTTCTCCTGTTTTCACTGGGTTGTTTTGAGAACCAAGTGAGATATGTGAAAGTGATTTGAAAAATTGTAAAGGTATAAATATAAAATGATGTTAATAACGGCAGCATCAGAGCCCATAAACTACACTCCACACGTTTTAATTCGTGAACAATTAGAAACAGTGGTTATTAGTCAGAAACTATATTGTGAAAGACAACTATTTTCTTGTTTATCAGGTTTGAGGGCAGTGTAGTCATTAAGCACACTGACCTTGAAGGCAGAAGGTGATGAGTTCAAACTCCAACTCTGCCACCAGCAATGTGAACTTGGGCAGTTTTTTCACTGCTCTGGGTCTTACTTTGTGCACGTGTGAGTGCACACGTGCGCACACACACACACACACACACACACACACACACACACGATAATAGATTCTTTGTGAGGATCCAGTGAGATAATGCTTGTAAAATGTTTGATAGAGTGCCTGGCACATAGTAAGTATTCAATAAATATTAGCTTTAAAATGTATCAAATATTTCTTGGGCACTGGCAATGTGCCAGGCCTAACTTAGGAAACAAAATGGAAAGATAATGGTTCTATTTCCAAGAGCTAACAAGTTTGGTGGGGAAACATCCATACAAATGAAAAAACAACATGCTCACTATTCAAATGCAAAAGTGGTCTAGAAAAGGAAATTTATATTGGAGGCACCCGGATGACTGAGTCGGTTAAGTGTCCGACTTCGGCTGAGGTCATGATCTTGCGATCTGTAGGTTCGATCTGTAGGTTCGAGCCCCAGGTTGGGCTCTGTGCTGACAACTCAGAGCCTGGAGCCTGCTTCAGATTCCGTGTCTCCCTCTCTCTCTGCCCCTCCCCCACTCACACTCTGCCTCTCTCTCTCTCAAAAGTAAATACAACATTAAAAACTTTTTTTAGAAAAAAGAAAATGTATAAATAGGCCTGGAAGAAACAGGTAGATAGAAATTTTCCTAGTGAAGGAAACACGACTCAAAACTTTTGAAGAGTGAGTAGAAGTTTGTATTGAAAAGGCTTGGTGCTTTTTATTTGGCTTTATCATTTGCCATAGGGCTTGAAAAGCCAAGTCTCATGTTTATGCTTGTTGGCTTTCTGGTGATTCAAGCCCAAAATTCTGGCGACTTGATGAGCATGGTGTTGGAAACTGATTTTACTTGCTATTTTCTGTATGTGAAACATCTGTTGTTTTGTTTTCATTTCACAGACCCCATAAGAGCTGTACAAACAGCTTCTTGTATAGGGAATAGATTGGTTGCCACCACTTAAAAGTGTTAGCATCCTTGGAGCATGTCGCTGGTCCCTTTAAGGAGAGAAGGCAGGGAGAAATGGTAACCACTTGTCCCTCTCTGGAAAAGTTGGAGCTGGAGGTGACTGGGGCAAATAGGTAGGGAACAGAAAATGGGATGCACAAGCATTTGTCCTGGAGACAATGAAAAGTTTACAGAGAGCTGTCCTTTGTCCACATGCAAATGTGAAAATACAGAAAGCTTTGTATTTGCCAGATACCTTGCTACCAAATTGGAGTGCCTTTTTCAGTTCACCATGTATGTCAGCAATGAATTTGGGAGTTAGAGATGTTGCCCTAAGTGGAAGAAATTTCAGACTTTCCTTTGAGTATTCTGTTTCCTTAATGTTGGTCAAATCCTTCAACAATGCACAAGAAGATGAAAAAGCTGTGTTAACTCTATTATCTGCTTCTGTACCAATAGCTGCCATGTTAGAGAAATTTAATTGGCATCTAACAGAAATCATCTGTTACCTTAAAAAAGTCATAGAATCTTAAGAATTTAGAACTGGAAGAGCCTTAAAGAGCTTGTAGGTCAGCCTCTTCATTTCATAAATGAGCAAACGGTGGCCCAGAGAGGCTGAGCCTCCCTCACCTCCGTTTCGGAATCCTCTCCAGGGCTTTTGTAAGCATTTTGCATGCTGATGAAGGGAAGGGAGCCACAAAGCCTTTGCATTGCAATAGGCACAAGTGAATTGTCTTCCCCCCCCACATTTGTCAGCTTCGGAAGAGGGGGATCAAAGCAAAGTAAAACTTTGGTAAGTCCCAAGAGGGACAGAAGCCCGGTGATGTTGAAGTTACTGTATCGGTCCACATGACTGGCGCTGAGTGGAAATGAGTCGTTTCCAACCCATTCAAGTTTAGGGCACCTGGATGGAGAACTTTAAAATAAGAAAACATTGTCAACAACAACAACAACAACAACAAAACAGTCACCGAAACTGGAGAATATCTTGACCCACAGGCAAGAGGCAGCACCGCAGAACCACAGAAGGTGTGCAGACATGGTATTCCGCCTCACTAAGATTGAGAGAGGATCTGCTGGCTTCTGTAGGGGGATTTAATGCTTTTAGGAGCGACCCCCCCGCCCTCCCGCCCCGGAGGAAATGCAGCAGCGGCAGGACGTGGAAAAGCCATGTTTGGCCTGCAGAGAGATCTTTTCCTTAAGACTCCTATTTGGACGCTGAAGTGCCTGATAGATAAGCCGGGCAGGCAGATGGCCACAAGCTCACCGGTCCTCCCCTTCCTTCCGCCAAAGAGAGATGCCCCGGCCCGGAGGGCTCCCCAACCCTGGGGATGGGGGTGGGGTCTCGACCGAAGGCACCTTCGTACCTGGATTTCTCGCGGCCTCCCCCAGCCCGCACCCTCTGCCTGGGGCCGGGGAGCAGAGGAGGACTGAGGGCAGGTGCGAGGCGTTTCGTCGGTCGCGCCGGTCTGGGAGGGAGGGGGACGCGTCCGCGGTGACGGAACAGAAGCCCCGAGAGCCTCGGCCCTTCCCACCACTGCCTGGGCCCCGCGGCCGCTCCGGAGGCGGCGGCGAACGCTCCACACCGCCGGTTCGGGGCGCAGCGTCGGCAACCTCGGAGCTCACCGGGCCGCAGCTCGCCCGCCGGCCGGGGGAACCCGGGGGAAGCCTCCGGGCCCAGGGGCGGCGGCGGGGAGTCCCCGCCCCGGCCGGCCGGCCCGCGCCTATCGCGGCCGCCGGCCTGATCACACGCGGGGAGTGGCGCCGCGGGCTGGGCCAGCGCCCGGCGGCTGCCGGAGTCGCGGCGGGCCGGGGCTGGGGGCCAGGCCGGGGCTCGGGCCGGGGCGGCGGCGGGCGGAGGGCGGAGGTGGAAACAGGGGCGGGCGGGTCATGCCAGTCGGGCCGCGGGATTCAGCCTAAACCGATACCGCCGAGGCGCCAGGCTTACTTAACCTGACCGACAGAAACAGCCTGCTGCTGACAGCGGCCCAGCTCGCTCTTCTTCCCGGGCTGTCACTGTTTCCTGGGGCTGCGCCGCGCATGCCAGCCCACCCTGGATCGACAACGACTGCGTGATGATCAGCACCAGGTGGGCTGGCGAGGCCGGGCGCCGTCCGCCACCCCGGCCGCCCCATGGCAAGGCTGTGCCCGGCGCCCCGACCCGTCGGCGCCCGCCCCCTGCGCCGCGCCGAGGGCGGAAAAGGGGGGCGACAGGAAGCGAGGGGGCTGCCTCCCCGGTGCCTTGCCCCTCCGGGGCGCTGGCCGGAGCTCTCGGAAGACGGCGGGCGTCCCAGGGCGTCCAGAGAACCGGAGGAGGAGGAGCCGGCTGGAGGGCGCCCACGCGGGGCGGGACGGGGCGGGAAGCTGCTGCTCGGGGGTCGGGGAGCGCGGCGGCGGCGGCAGTACCCTCTCCCTCACCCCCTTGGCGCCCGGGCCGCCTGCGCGAGAGGCAGGTTGAAGGCTTGGGCTTTGTGCTGTCTCCTGGACCGGACTTTTTCTTTTTCTTTTTTTTCTTTTCTGCCGCACGTTAGACTGGTTTCTTCAGTGCAGGCTGTGTTGGCCACCGGGTCGGGGATCGTCATCATCCGCTCCTGTAACGACGTGATCACGGACAGGTAACATCCAGCGCCAGGTGAAAGCAGCACCAGTGACAGCGCCGAACTTTGTGGAGTGTCCTTATTCGAGTGGCTCTCAGGCGCTAGTTCTTTATCAGCACGTGCTGTTGGGGAGCCGATTGATGGGAAAGCTGGGGCACCATAATTAGTGCCTCTTCCTCTCCGTACGTCTCTCGGCCTCGCCCACTTGGGAGAAAGTAAGCCCAAGATACGCTAGTGAATGACGGGTCTAGGTCTGAAGGTGGGCCACTGACCCAAGTACTTTGTGAGATACGTAAGTGTGAGAATTACTCGGAAGCGGAACATTAGCTTTTGGTTCTTTTCAGTGATTTCACTAGGGTCCTACTCTGGAGCTTCATTGGCCAACGTATGTCCAGTGTGGGTAGCAGAGAGCCCCCTCGGTGGAAAGGAATGAATCCACCAACCCTGTCTTTACAAGGGCGGCTCCGTGGTTCCTCTGGATTTGCTGAAGGCAATGAAGAGGCTTCTAGTGTTTTCAGAAAACTGACTTGTACGCCAATCAGAACTTGGTCCAGAGACAGGTCAGGAAAGGTGCCTCTAGTGAAGAAAATCATAAAGACCAGAGTGGTCTACTTTGTACAGTGTTTAGATCTCAGCAATTGTGCCTCCCTCCCCCATTTTTCTAAAAACCATTTTTTTCCATCTGAGTTCCCAGAACCCCTCTTACTTTCTCCTAAAGAGTGATAATGAAACACGCTGGGAAAATCTCAGAGCCTCTTCTAGTCCCTTTCTCATGTTGACTCTGCAAAGTGCCCTGCTTTTCACCTGTCGAGACTGAACTTGATGGGAGCCAGAGTGCAGCGTCCACCTCACTGTGGCCTGCAGACTTAGCGTCCGGATCTTCCTTGGATTAGTGCTGCCCTGTAGCTTTTGCGCTTTTCTTCCTGTGCCTCTTTTGCAGACGAAACCAGCTATCTGCAAGGAATTATGGGCTATGCAGACAGAAGATAGGTCAAGTGGCCTTGACTGCATATACCACAGGCTGACAGCATTAGCTTGGCCGGGTTCCGTTTTTATTCTCTTTGGCCATTTTTGAGGTGTCGGGGGCTAACCTGAGGGTGTGGGTCCCTGTGGTGGAAGCTGAACCACCCTGGAGTGTGGGGACACAGAGGAATCTGGATCCAAGTCGCTTCTTTCCCGCTTTGGGGCTCAATGCCCTGCCTGTCTCATAGTTCAATGGGTGAAATAGTTTCTTATTGAGTTGCAGGAAGAGGAAAGAGTTCAGAAGAGCAAAGAATAAGAATGGGTCCGCTAGATAGAAGATGAAACCCATCCGATCTGTGTTGGATCTCATCCAATCAGTCACCAGAACTTTCAACTGACCACAGCATGTTAGCCAGATCAGCTCTTTGGCCATTTTCTGATCATGCAACAAGTTCCCTCACTGCCCCCAGTTTGTCACATCCAACTTGAAACCAGCCTCCTTTGCAAAGATTAAACTGACAGACGTGACTCCACAGCATTATCCTGAGCTGATACGAGGGCAAGCAGCGAGTAGCCACTAAGCATTTCAAAAGATACTGGTACGCCATTAATTGCCCATTCTGTAGCGTGGTGTCTCCCCTCAGAAGCTCCACGTGTTTAGTGGCTTGATCCTGGTCGCACACCTGAGTTTGGTTTTCCGTTTCCTCCTTTTGTGTCTCTTTATGCCTTAGATTCTCTGATCACACAGTAGAGATAGACACATTTCTGTGCCCTCCACCTTTACATGTATGCGTGAAGATTTTTTTAAAGGTTATTATTATTATTTTGAGGGAGAGACAGAGAAAGCATGCAAGTCGGGGGGGTGGGTGGGTGGGTAGGGGCAGAGAGAGAGAGAGGAGGAGAGAGAATCCCAGGCAGGCTCTGCACTGTCAGCAGAGCCCAAGGCGGGGCTCTATCTCAAGAACCATGAGATCATGACCTGAGCTAAAATCAAGTGTCAGATGCTTAACCAGCTGAACCACTCAGGAACTCCTGCCTAAGGATGTTCTAGAGGTACCTAGATCATCTTAAAAACAGAGTCCTCAGCAAGCACTGCAGGTGATTCTGAATTCGGGTTGAGAACCAGAAGACTAAATTACTTCTATCTGACAGGTGCACAGTAAAAATCTGCTGAGTGAAGCTGTTCCTTCTCAGCATAGCATATGATTTCTATGTTGATTTTTTTTTTTCACATTACCTATAGAATGATTATTTATCATTTGGGAACAAAAGTGTAGAAATTAGAGACTTCTAATCTGCTCTGGGGCAGTGATACACAGTCATTTAGATTCTGCAAATGTTGATTCAGCCCCTTTGGACAAGTAAATGGGAACACTGTCTTTTGTCCCAGCTTCTCTTCTGGTGTCTGACTGCTGTAAGGTAAGTCCTTGGGCTCTGGGCTCATTTCCAGATGTATTTTTCTTAATGAGTGCAATTGGGATTAGCCATAGAATTCTAAAGAAAATGGTCAGGGTAGCTCCCAGAAACTCCCTACAGTGGGGTTGCAAGCAGATGCAAGAGGAAACTCCCAGCTATTGAGCAACTAAGTGAAGTCAAACGGGAAATATTGGATTTGGCATTTGGGACACCTACTTTCAAACCAGTTTCTTGGTGAGGCTATTGAATCATTTGTAGAGATATCGATATCAAAGTTAACTTATATCAAAAAGCGCCAGAAAGCCCATTAGAAATGAGTAGCTAAGTCAGAGAAATAGTGACAGCTGGCTCCGTGGTCCTGAGTGGATCCTGGTTTTCTGCTTTTGACACTTAGGAATTTGCCCTGTCACTCAGAGAAAATTTTTCACTCACCTTATCACTGTCAGTGTCTCCATTGTAAAGTATTTGGAGTAGGAAACAATCAGGTACGAAGTTGAAGGGGATGTGTTTGAGAAGAGGTCGGCTTTGAGCTTTCATAATTGAGATCCATAGTTATTTCATGGATCGTTCATATGCTTTCTTTTAGGCACTGGCTTGCCCGGGAGTACGTCTGGTTCTTGATTCCATACATGATCTATGACTCCTACGCCATGTACCTCTGTGAATGGTACCGAACTGGAGACCAGAGCCGCAGACAGTCCCTCACCACTTTTCAGAGCTTCCTAAGTAAAAACCGTCTCATGATCACGCACCATGCGGTCATTCTGTTTGTCCTTGTGCCAGTGGCACAGGTATGGCCTTCCAGCACAGCCACCAGCAGACTCGGTCACTCATTTTCTCCTGTTAAACTGGCTCTCTTGACTGTTTGTTGCCTCTGAGTAATGTCTTGCCTTCCCCTTCCCTGCTGCACCCGCTCTCCTGGGCCAGCTACTTAAGCAGTAAAACGTCCCAGGCAGATCCTGCAGGAAAAAAAAAAAAAAAAAAAAAAAAAAAAAAAAAAAAAAAAAAAAGATCTGAAATGTCTGTGATCCTCCTTACAGACATTACTCTTTATGCAAGCCCCCAGCCCTCTGTGACTCCCAGGCTCTGTCAAAGGTTCTGTCTTTAGCTTATACAATATAAGAACAATTGAAGACACAATGCAGGGCAACATAAAAATTGTTTTAAAGAAACGAGAGCAGCTCAGTCAACTGGCCATTTGCTCTAACAGTGCCGGAGAGTACTGTATGCACTATTTTGAGATCACAAAAGCACACTCTCAAAGCAGAGAGCCTCATAATTTCTCCTTGGATCCATTTCCCCACAAAAACCCACCCAACGAGGAAGAGAATGGGAATGCCGGAAGGAAATTAGTAATTTTGAGTGCCTACCAGGTGACAGGTGCTTGTAGCTTTCTATCTGTGATCAGAAGTTATTAGAGAATAATTAGGTATTATTAGCCCTGTACCATAGATAAAGAAACCAGGGCCCTAAGAGTTTACTTATTGTACCCAGTGGTACGAGGTGACAGAGCTGCTATCCTACGCTATCCTGGTTTTTCTTAAGATAAAAGGAGTGGTAGGGTATATTACATTCTTCAAGAAGCTTCACCTGATTGCTCTGGGGCCCTAACATCCAGCACAGGGTCTGGCACATATTTTGTTGACTCAAACTGGCTAAATGCCCTTGGCGTGACAAAGTTAGATACCCAAAAGTAGGCTACGCGGTTCCTTCCGGCTGACATTGAAATTCAGAAAAAGCTTGGTGTGTGATGCAATCAGCTGATCTGAAGCTGCCTCTGGATCTTAGGGATTTGGCCATCAAATGTCACTGCTGTGGAAGCAGCAGCACATTCACTGGGCCTGTACTTGCTCATTTAGCCTTTCCCTTTCCCTTCGTGCTCTCTCGTGGTCACCCTTCTCAATAGCCCTGGTTGGAATTTTCCTTCTGGTGATTCCTTAACCTCCATGTCTTATTTCCCCTTTTTTCCTCCCTCCCCTTTTCCTTTCGCAGAAGCTTAGGGGAGACCTTGGCGACTTCTTTGTTGGCTGTATCTTCACGGCAGAACTGAGCACTCCATTTGTGTCGCTGGGCAGAGTTCTGATTCAGGCACGTATGAGTGAGATGGCAGTAGCTGTGCGGAGGAAGCCGACTCTGCTCTTCCTGGGTAGATTGTGGGGTTTAGAGAAATCCCTTTGTGCTAGGAATAGTGGGGATAGGAAACCACTGAACAGACCTAAAGGTCAGTTGGTGTTCTGAGCCGATGGGGTTGAAATTGTACTTCTGATTCCAATTTGATACAGGTTGATTTTTTTTTTTTTTAATTCAGTTTCCGTATGCCTGTCGGCTGGGCGGCTTATGCCAAATTCAGTATCAGTATTGGAAAAACCACGAGCCTATATGCACACATAAATACAGTGGCATTCAGTCCTCTTTTCTACAAGTGTCAGAAGACTAGATGCTTGGCCCTTACTGCGGTGGGGCTTGGGCTAGTCGTTCCCTGAAGGCACAGCCTTTTGGTGACTCTGCATTCTCCTTTCCTCTTCTCTTGCAGTTAAAGCAGCAGCATACCCTTCTGTACAAAGTGAACGGAATCCTCACACTGACCACCTTCCTCTGCTGTCGGATCCTTCTTTTCCCTTTCATGTACTGGTCCTATGGCCAACAGCAGGGACTAAGCCTACTCCAAGTGCCATTCAATATCCCTTTCTACTGCAACGTGGCCAATGGCTTCCTCATCGCTCCCCAGATCTACTGGTTCTCTCTGCTGTGCAAAAAGGCAACACGGCTCTTTGATGCTCCCCCAGCCCGAAAGGATGGGTAATTGCTCTCCGGAGTCGGGCAGTGAGGGTGCCTCCTCACACCAGCTGCCTCCTCCACTCAATCAATATTCTATGGACCAAATTGTGCCCTGGGTGGCCTCAGCCCTTGGGGTATTGATAAGCAGAGGGAGTTGAGGTTTTCTAAAGAATATTCATATTACCTCCCTCTTCTACCCCTTTTGCAAAAGCACTTTTTTCTTAGTAACTATTGGCTTCTGTCAGATTTCCACTGGTAGCAAGGTGGTTTCAATGCAAGCCCAAGGATCCTTCCTTGGGTCTTAGCTCAAAGGTTCTGGGAGGTAGAAGCATGGGGTATGGAGACAGGTAGACTAGGGTAGTAAGTGTTTGGGCACCCGCCTGGCCCTAATATTGGTGGCTACCCACCTTTCCAACCACTCAGGGCAGTATCCACACATACCGGGCCAGCAGAAGCAAGACTTGGTTCTTCACGTCAATTCTTGTGATGTTGGCCTGGGAAAATCACTGTGTGTAGGTAGTTTTTTTACCACTTACTAGATAACCCATTGGTCCCATGCCTCATCTTGTCATCCATGTGCCAACACTGAATTCTTGTGTCCACTGACTTCCATTCAGAAGTCTCACTGGCAGCAGGGTAAGAGGTGGGGAAGGGAACCTACAGCACTTGAGTAGGCAGAGGCCGATAGATCAGCGCCTTCGTAGGCTGCCTTGGGAAGACCAGTGTCAAACATGTGAGCTTGTTGTAAAGTCACAGATGCTGTTCCTTTTTTAGCACGTTCCCTCAAGCCCAGCTTTCCCCGTATCCACACGCACAGGATGCCGTTGTTACGATAGGGGTAAAGCGAACGGTGCCTATCAAGCTCTTTACTGGGTAACCCTGCTTTGACACTGCCCTTTCCATATGACATGGAAACAGGCTTCTGTATTCCAGACCATGAGATGTCTCATCCAGGCTGCCTGATAAACCACAGCCTGTGTCCCAAAGCCTGTTCCTACATGAGCGTACGGCCACTTTGCCACAGAAGGCTGGAGAGCAAGGGCGCAAGACAGCGCTGGCCAAAATACATCCTGTGGACTGACTCCTTCACCCGCCACTTGGAAATAGGATCCTCTGGTGCCAGTACTAATCGTTCCTTATCAACTAGGATGGTTTTTAGAAACTGCTACCATGAAGCGTTTTTTCAAGTGGTAGTAAAAATCTAGATGTTTTTAAAGTGCTTTTTAATTCATTGTTGTCCATGAACTTTTAAAGTACTGGGTATGTAACGGTGTCTCAAATTTTGACTGTTTCAGTCTTTAATGGGTGCCATTTAAAAAACCTAAAATGCTGTTAATTTTTTTTTTTTTTTTTTACCATTTTTATTATCGGTGTATCTTTATAAATCACCCCTGTGGTGATTAAATTGCACTAATATTTCCCAGCTTCTTCTCATTTGTGAAATACATCAATACTGACTTCTTTCCAGACCCATCCTGTGACCTGACTGGACTCACTGTTGTGTGCTATGGTTTCCGGCCCATCCATGCCACCTGGAAGAAGTGGGGGTGTTGGGGGTGTGGTCATGCTGTCAGTGTCTAGGAGGGCCTAGTTCATACCTTACTCTAACGTTTCTGGGGTTCCAAGAATACATGGTAGGGTCCTAGAGTTCAAGCATATTGATCAGGTAACTTTTGGCGCTTTCTTCCCTTCCTATGGAAGTACCAATTAGAGGAACTGGAGGGTTGAAAACCAAATGTAGGCCACTAAGCCAACCCACTTAAGGCGGGGGCGGGAACCAGAATAATGCCCCATTTTGAGTGAAGGTATGCACAGGCAGGTGATGGGGCATATCCTTTTCCTTTCCCTACCTCCCAAATTAAACGTCTCACCAACCAGTTCTCATAGTTCTGGGATATACCCAGACATGTTAAATTTGCATCTTTATGCTTCTGCACACACCACTGCCCGCTCCCACTCTTCAAAACCATGACAACTTACCCTAGGCAGAAGATAATTGTACCCATCCTTTATACCCATCTCTGCTGTGTTTACCAGACCTGGTTTCACACAGCCCCTCCTGGGTCCACTGAATGGAGTTAAGACCGTACGCCAATTCCAAAGTCACCCATTTTCTTAAGGTTAGTAGTCTACCCCCTGACATTTAATTTTCTTGGTCCAACGTTCTTTTACAGTGGTGCAGGCTGTTTGGGCACACAAATCACACAGCCACTTGCTGGCAGAAGGGAGTGCTTTTCCTTGTTGCCCTTTCCAAGGTAGCACGAAATGACTCTGGAAAGGGGTTTCAGTGCAAAAGAACATACCTGGTAATTTTTCCACTTGGGTGATTTCACCTTTGGACTCATTTGCCAAATTCTAGGGTGGATAGGTCCAGTTATGAGCAAGTTCCTCCCACCTTGCCTTGATCTTTAAGACTCCAGCTGAGCCCAATGTCAGGGAATCTCTAAGCCTAGACTATTGACGAGAAAGACTCAAGAGACAGGATAAAACTCAGAAGAGAATTTTATAATTTGTACGTTATAAACATCTAAGAAACTATTTTCTTTATAGTTACTGCCATATACCTTCTTAGCTTGTGTACAATTTCACATAACTGAAAAGTTTATGTTTCTCAGCTCGACCCCTAGAGACCCCACCCATGTTGAGGGCCCAGCTGTTTTCTGATCTACAAAGGTCAGAAGTTGCTGATCTTCTGCAGCAGGGTTTGGCGCCGCTCCTCAGGGCTAATGTTCTCGGCGATGGACTTTAAGAAACGCTGCTCATTTACCTTCTGGAGCAAGGAACTAACAGAAGGGTTGGCCTTGCTCAGGGTTTCGTAGCAGGTGAGGATTTCCAAGGCCAAGACGTAGAGAGGTTCACACACCTCTTGGTGGACCATGGCCACGATGTGCAGAACATGACAGAATACCTGGGTATAAAAAAACAGGGTTTCCTGGGTCAGGTCCTGTTCTTGTCCTTGAGCCCAAGGGCCAACTGACTGTATCAACCTAACGGAGTCCAGGAGGTTGGTCAGACTGTTACAGAGAAGTCTGACCACATGGCTCCAGCCTTCCATAGGAAGCCAATTACGACAACTCTGGCTGCAGAGAAACTGGAAGGCTCTCAGAAAGAGTACAGAGAGTTGGAGCTCCTGGGCAAAGGGCTTCAGGTTGAGCAGAGGAACAAACTGAATATATTCCAGGCTATAAGGGACATGTAGGAGCTGTTTCTCCAATAGTCTCCTGGTCAACTGGTAAAGGTACTGCCACTCCTGGGGGCTGCACCAAGGCATGACTTGTACCAGGGCCACCAGAAAACCCTTGCTGAACAATCTGACCTCCTCAGGGTTGCCCACATCTACCACCAAGAGGGAAAGCATCTGCTCAGAGATGCTGCTGGAGAGGTAGCAGCACTCCATCCAGGCAAGAAGCCCTGTGCCTGGCCCGTACCCAGGGTGGGCCTGGGAGGTCCACTCGTCCTCAGAAAGCTTACAGATCTCAAAAAGTGTGGCCGGCACCTCACACTTGAAGTGGCCCTCAAAGAGGTTCTTCATTCTCAAGCGCACTGTCCAATCGAGCTGTTCCAGCTTCCGGTGGAGCCAAGACTGGGACTTGATCCATATGTCCGGGGAGAAGGTCTCAGCATTAGCCAATACAATCTCACAGAGGATCTCCAGGATATGGATCACCAAATCCTTCCCATCCAAAGAGAGGCACCGCTTCTCTTTGGGGAGCTGCCAGTATTTGCTGAAGCAATCCAGCAGCTGGCACAAGCTGAAGATGAGAGGGAACGGAGAACAGGTCTGCAGCCAGTATCCCTCTAAAGATGCATTTGCTTGGAGAGTCTGGATGAAGATCTTCAAACTGAGGTCCACCTCTTTGACATCTAGCATCAAGAAGGGCAGGACGAACTCTTTTAGCACTTCATCTGGCTCAAGAAGAGCAGCAACTGGGATACCCTGGGGCTTCACAGGAGTCATGAGACAGCTCAGGAGCTCCAAAAACTGCTTTTCTTCCTTGGGTGTAGAGAACTTTCTCCAGACGGTTTCTTTGAGGCATGACACCACAAAATTGGTGGGTGGATTTGGACTCTGCTCTTCCATGAACCTAAGGGCAGGGAAGGCAGTGAGAATCTGAGCCAGGAACTTGTGAGTGCCAAGATTGACCACAGCCATGCTGCACATTTTCTTCACCGTGATCTCTGGGTACAGAATTACCAGGCGAGCCACAGAAGCTACAGCTTTAGCTAAGCCCTGTTCAGAGGCACTCTGTGCGAGCTGGTTAAAAGTTGTATTGAGGTCTTCCTGAAACCCGTCCAAGTAAGCCAACTTCTCAGACAGACCCTTTCGCCCCCAGGAGCGCAGGGTGCCTGATAGGACTTTATTTTTGTCTGGCAGTGAGAGGTTTGCATAACATTCCAGGATCAGGCTGATCACTTGTTTGATCTGAGATTCAGGGATGGCTCTGTCTGTCACGGTGACTTCCATCACCGTTTGCAACAGCTTTAACAGCAAGTCCGGCTCTTGGAAGAGAGCCTGGTTATTTACCAGGCAGGCTAGCCACTCATCTGAGAAAGCCCACTTCTTCTCAGAAGCAAAAATGTAGCACATTTCCATATGCCGGTCCATCTTCTGGTCGATGATGGCCATGGCGATCGAGGCAGTGATGTCCTTCTCGAAGCCCTTGTTCTTCAGCACCCTGTTTGTTTTCTTTAGGAAGTCCCCTACACACTCTGCCAGCTCAGAGACCACCTGCCCCTCCTCCTTAGACAAGCTGGTGGAATCCAGGTAGAGCTTCAAGTTCTGGCTGAAGGAAGTCAGACTATCACACAGCCGGTAGCTGTCATAACTTGTCCCCTGGCTGCTGTTGAGCACGGTCTGCAGCTCCTCCCCCCATTCTCGCAGCAGGCTGCACATGAACTCCAACCCGATGAAAACTGTGTCGCTTGGAAGCTTGGCCAGGGAAGTCAGGCTGATGTCCCGTTCTGCTTCCTTTACCTTCTTGGCCAGTGCCTGTTGGTGATACGGGTTCTGGGTGTCCAAATTCCACACGGAGATCACCGCGGCCAGTTTGTCCAGATACACAGTTGCAGACACTTCCTGGGAGTCGTCCTCCATTAGTGCAAACACTGTCAGCATGTCAGCCAAGTTGGCTAGCGCATAGCACTTCATCCCGGGGCACAGGATTCGATTTTGGATTTGTTTCAACCCAGTGAGCAGCATGGCCAATAGGGGCATAGTAGGACACACATCTGGGTCTGACTTAAACCTCTTTGGAGGATGGGAGAACTCATCTGAAGAGGACAAGTACTTATGGGCCATTGTTCTAAACTGGGAGAGCAGGGGGTCCTGCTGATTGCCTTTGTGCTTTATCATTTCCCACCAGACACTGAGGAAAAAGGCCACATCCTTTGAAGAAGTGTCAACAGACATGTGCTCCAAAAAGTGCTCTAGTTCTGCACGGCAGATAGTGGTGGGCAGGGCCATCAGGAGCTGGATAAAGAGTCCAGAAGCTTCCAGAGACTTGAGCAGCTCAAAAAGCACTGTGTGATTGATGGTAGGGATCATGTTGACTACTGAGAAGAACATATCTTCCTGCCACCGAGTGTCAGTGTCAGAAGGGGTGACAGGGTAGGGCTGAAGAACCTTGGCCCAGATGATGATCAGAGCTTTCTTCTTCCAGGCAAAGGGCTGGGAATGTGCCGTGGTGGAGGAGATCTCCCTTAGGGCCTCCACAATGGGCCGCCCAACATGCTCCCAGTCAGACTTTGTTAATTCTGCCAGTGCCTTGGGGTGGAACAGCTGCTCAGCGAGCAAGAAGCCTCCATGAAGAATAGTCATTTCCTCGCAGATATTCAAGGGTCCTGCACAGAGAGAAACCGAACAAGACAATGTGGTGAAAAATATTTAAAATAATTAGAAGGAGTTAGAGGCAAAGAGACATCAGTTAGCATAGGCTGGTTGTCATTATCAGAGTTGGACATGAGAAGGGTTCAGTGAGACTGGGAAGAAGGGATAGTTCCAAGAGCTGCTGCAGAGCTGGAGTCAAAAGGACTTGCCTGAGGAATAAAAAAGGACTCCCATACTCTCTAGCCTGGATTGGGAAGACAATGGGCATCACTGGAGGAACAAAGAAGAATCAGAACAGTTTTGGAGGAACCCACTGTTCAGTTTGGGTTATTTGGAGTTTGAGGTAGAACATTAAGGTAGAAACATCCTCCAGCAATGGAAAGGTGGGGTTGACACCCAGGAGGAGAGTCCATCCTGAAATGTAGCTCAGGGAGATATCCACCCAGAGGGGATCAATGGAATGAACAAAGTAAATGAGATCCTGCAGGAAAAGCATGTGAAAAGGGAAGGGCTAGGCCCTCCAGCACAGGATGGGCCAGCAGAGGATGTGGGGAGGAAGGCTGAGAGAGAGAGATATCACAGCAGTACCAAACTGCAGGGGCCACCACGTGAGTAGTGTGGAATGTGACAATTGAGCCTCTAAGTAATGATATAGCCTAAGAGGGGCACAGGCCAGGGCTGTGGGCATAGAAGCAATCAGACAAGCCTTGCCGTCCTTCCTTTCCCTTACAGCCTTGTCTTGCAAACAGATTTCAAATGTTCTGCCTTTCAGGGAAACAGTTTACCCCATAGCTCTTTCTGTCAAACCAGAACAAGCTACTGAAGGCGCTGGTTCTCTGGTAGAAACCGAGAGGTCGACACAAAAAAATGCTAGATTAAGAAAGAAAAGTTCTTCCTCCAGTGAGCCATGAATCAACAGACTTCTCAAGGAAGGCATTTTGGGATGTTTAATTAGACACAGCTTTAAATCCTAGCTCAACCATTTAAAAGCAGTGCAATCTTAGATTTCTTCTCTGAGCTTCCCTTCTGTGTATGTGGGGAAAATAGAGACTTCCTATTAGGACTGTGAGGAACAAGCGATAATATTAGCTAAGCCCTTGGCAGAGGTGGTTGCTGTTAGCTCCCGATTCCATCTCCCAGAGCTGCTGAGCGTTAAATAAGATATAGCTACAGTAAGCATCTGGCTACAAAGAGCCTGGTAAGTGCTCAATAAACGTTGATTCCCCCCAAATCTTTCCATTGTTGGCAGGACCAGAACCTTGTCACTACTCTTTGCCTTCCCCAGCTCAATAATAGGAAAGGACATAGGTCTTCCTCAAGTAAGCTTCTTCCGGCCCGGAAACAAAATAAGAGTACAAACACTACTCACTATTGAGTATTCCTGACTTCTCTCCCCTTTCCCAGGGCATGGAGATGCCACCCCTTCCTCATTCCCTCATGCCTCCAAGAACCCATCTTTCCCATTTATACAGGCCAAGAAGCCAGCAAGTGAGAGTCTTGATTCAGATTTAAAAAGGTCCTGCCCTTCGACTTTAAGGGAGCAGCTAAAGGCAAAGGATTATCCAACCAACTGGTGAAGGCAATTCACCTGGACCCCCAGTGGCCAAGGCAGACTCCCAGGGAAGATCAGGTTGCCTGAGGGGTCTCACTGGGGATTCTGCCCCTTCCCCCCCCTTTTTTTGGTTCAGGTTGGTCTCCTAGGACCCCAAAATATGCTCCCCATGAATCTGTACATTTAATTTTATTGCACAATCAGTTCAGCCAAAATGTTTGGCCCCCAATACCCACTTTCCAGAGATGGTATGTTCACTGTGCTACTTGAAGGAGTTAAGTCCCAGGAGCTATCGGTTAACAGCTGGGCAAATCCTAAGTATTTTTATTACTCCTGGTTAACTGGTGCTTGTAACTCCCTCCCTATGTTTATTAAGTGTTTACTCCGTGTCAGGCACTGTGCGAGATCTTTTTGAATCTTCACATCAACCTGCTGACCATTTCTGCTGTAGCGATGGGAACACTGAGATTCAGGAAGAGTTTGCTCAGAATGTCTCTACTACAGCGTAATGGGGCCGGGACAGAAATCACCACAGCTACAGGGCTCCAAACTCTCTCCTGTTCCACCACTGAAGAGCTAACTGGGGATAGGACTACATTTCTACTGGCACATCTCGGGGTGCCTCACCCCAGCTCTCTCAGAACAGCCTCCTGGTCTTATCTCCGTAAGAGCATGGCTAGCAGGGTGGGAGGCTGGACAAGGAGCCACCGATTTATACTAGCTCTCCCCTCCCTTCCCGCAGACCCTGCCTGTGAGGATTCTGAATTAAAGGCACAGAAGTTCAAAAGTGCCCCTCGGCTGCTGCGGCCCTCCCCACAGCTGCTGGTCGCATGAACGTTAGCTGTGCACAAGGCACCGTACCAGACACTGCATACACGTGCTCTCAATCCAAAGGCCCCCAAACTGTGTGGTGGATACATTATCATCGTCCCCGTTATATCTATGAGGACCTCAAGAGCGTAAAACGCTTGCTCAACAACTCGGTAGCCATTCAATAAATGAGACTGTCGGGGTATCCGGGATTCCCCCGGGCGACTTCTGAGGCGGGCATTTTCCAAAGCACGTGCACAAACCCTGCCTGTCCACCTTCAGGAAAATCTAACTTCACATCCGCTTCGCCCTTCACGTGGAAAGGCGTCCGGAGGGAGCAAGATGCCGGCCAAGGAGCTGCCGGGCCGGGGTTAGATCCCGGCCTCCCGACCCCCGGCCTCCAAGGATAACCCCGCCCTCCAAAACCCTCCCCAGCCCGGAGGTCTCCCTTAGCCCGGACCCGCTCAGCACCGCCCTCGTCCCCCGTCTCGGGACGCGGACCAGGAGGGCCGAGGACCGGCACCAGAGACACCCACCTAGGTCCATGGCGGCGACGCCAGCGGCCGTGAGGCCGCCCCTCCCCCGCGAGGCCGCGAGCGCAGCGCAGGCGCCACGGCACAATGGGCAGTTCCGGGGGGCGGGACAATGGGCCGCGCGCCTCAGCCCCCGCCCACAATCTCAGCCCCGGCTCCGCGCGGTCGGTCGCGATCCTCCCGCCGCTCCGCGCGCACGCGCGGTCCTCACCGGCAGGTCAGCGGCGCCCAGGCAGCCCGGCCCACATCGCCCCCTACCGGCCCGAGGCTTCCAACCAGCCAACAGGCAAGAACTCGC